CTCTCCTCTCCTCTCCCCTCCTCTCCTCTCCTTTCCTTTCCTGACCATCTGTCTTCTTAACATCATACTCTTTTCTGGCATTCTCAACATACCAGCACTGGCCTGGAAAACCTCCCTTGGTAGGCACAAATCAACCCCAAATCCCTAAAGCCTAGCCACACTCTTTTCACCAAGAACCGACAACTTTAAGGGTCCTTACCTATGGCTTTGAAGTATATAATTATTAGCTATAATCATCTAACCTTGTAAAAAGAAAGTAAAAACACCTCGCCATCTAATAATCCAAAATTCTTACTTTAGCAGAAATATTTTGGGCCCACTCATCTTGCTGTTTTGTTCATATACTTCAGGTCAATTCTCTCACCTTTAAAAAAAATTCCTCTTTATCTTCTCTTTTTCTTAATCACTGTTTACAATCTCATTTTTGTCCTTTTTCACACACTTTGTATTCCCCCCCTTTTAAAAAGTTGTTATTAGTAGAAATCTAGACTCTGGATCTCTCTCAGATTAAGCCCTAAAATATCCATTTTAAACAATAAATCAATAAATTCTCTCCTGTGCATCCAGTTTGATCCTATTTATATCACTTACTGGCTAGAATTGGGATGATAATCACTCAAATCCTTGTCTTTGTTCTGTGTGATCCAGACATTGCTAGTTACAACCTCACATTTTAGCAAAGAGAGAAAAGATCATCCAGTTTATAAGAATCTGGCTGATATTCCAGCCACAGCTTGATGATGGTTTATTTTAGACAGGGGAATGGATACAGCTGCACTGAAACAAAATGGGCCATTTTGTCCTAGGTCGTCTTATGCACACTCCCACTATGCTAATACCAGGCCTGTTAATTTTCTACTGTATTTTTCATATCTGTTATTTTGCTCTACTTACATACAGTAAGTCTTAGTAAAACTGCCGCAGTTTAAAGTGTCTTTTTTTTTGGTGTTTTTAGAAAGAGGATATTGAGAAAATCGATTTCCCATGATGTGGCTATAAATATATAAGCAACTTCTGTATAAGAAATGAAGCAGAGAATGAACAAAACTGCTTTTAAAATTTTTTTTTTAGATTTTTTAGATTACTGCTTTTAAAACCCAGATTATAGAATATCCTTATAATTTGTTTTTCCTCAATGACAGAGGGAGTTAGAACATAAATCATTTAAGCTGTAAGGATATATGTTTTTGGATTTTCACACCCAGTCAAAGTATTTATATTTATAGGTCAATTATTTTAAATCCTTTTTTGCATATGGTGTCTCTTTAATTCTTACCTTAAACCCCTGAAGGTGACTGGTCTTACCAATCAAGCCTTCAAAGAGAATCTTGAAGCTCAGTCAGTGAACATTTGTCTCAAATACACAGCTAGTGTACAGAAGACCCAGATGCTAAGATTAGTTTTCTGTATCTAAATCCAGTGCTCTTTTGAGTTTTAACACACTGCTTTCCCCTATTGAATGAGGTAGTCAGTCCTATGAATAAGTAAAGCATTATAATGATTATTCTTATAAGCAACACTATGGTAATTTTTAATGTAACAGTACTGAAACTGTGTTTTAGAAATATTTTCTTTTTGTAGAAAAATTGCATCCCAGGAACTGTCTGGTTCAGGCCAGTATACAGAGGATAACGTCACATGGTAAACACCATTTTACTCAGTTACAAAGGTGAAGAAGGTGGAAGATGAGAGTATGTACTCTGGCATCAAATTACCTTGGAATCTACCTTGGCTCTGCCAGTCACTACATGTCTGATGTGAGGCAATTACCTAATCCCTCTGTGCCACAATTTCCTCAACTGGAAAAGAAGAAGTTTCTATGTCGTAGCATTTGTAATGAAGACTAAGCTAGCTAATCTATATGAAGTGCTTAAAACACTGCCTGACACATAATAGATGCTCAAAAAAGCATGTGACTGAAAATATAGATGAGACTGATTGTGTGCTTTCAATTAAAAAATCTAAAAAGACTTTCAGCCTATTATTTGCTTGTGTAACTGAAAATGAGTTCACATTTGACTCATTGAGGTCATAATAGAACTAAGTCCTCTATTCTGTTTGTTGCTATTACACAATACATGAATATGTACTCAATCTTGAAAGGCGGCATTAATCAGAATAGTAATTACTCTGAGAAGGCTATAAAAACAAGAGTTCATCTTTCTTTTATCAAGGAATAGCACAACTCTCAGACATTTTGAGGTCTGCCTCAACTTTACTGAAGTAACAATATCAGCAATGAAGATACTTTGTATTTTCCTGACCTTTGTCTTCACTGTGTCTTGTGGTCCATCAGGTAATATTTGTTAATATGAAAAAGGAGGGAAGAACAAAATGTTTTTTATAAATGCTTTACTCTGGAAAAAGTCAAACAATTAAATTGTTGTTAGGAGACTCCACATGAACCTATAATGCAATTCACTCTATTTTACATGAAAGAAGAAATGAATTGGACTGATAGTTGAGAAAATAAAGGGGGAAAAAAAAATTCCCAGGATGTAGAATTAAACCTGTTTGTTATTTTGTTTGATGAGACTATGACTTCTTACATACTTCCTACTGCCTTCTCTTTTTAAATGTGACTTAATGAACTGATACTCTAGCTGTTGTCAAAATTAAGCTTTCTACAACTGGTCCAGTAATTTTGTGGGGAGAGGGGTGTTAGAGGTAGATGGTTATTTAGAACACAAAACAGGTAGACTATTTTTTCCACATTTTTTTCTCTTTACTTTTGAGGAAGTATGCACAGATTAGATACTTAATGATATTCCATTTAAAAAAAAAAGCTAGTGGCAAAGGAAATATTGTTGGATAAATAAGTATTTATATTGTCACAATTTGTAGGGGATAAAATGTGAACTTTTTAATACAATTGCCTGGACATGATTTTAGAAACTAAATGGTTTACCTCTATACTTTAAACAACTTTATATGCTTGTCTGTCTATCTATTACCTATCCACCTATTTATGCAAGGGGATTAAATCTGGATTTATGATCATAGATACTTTTTCTTAGTTTCACAGAAAAAAACAAAAGAAGATGTAGAGAGAAAAAGAGAATGTTATCTTGTTCGTGGTGCTTGCAAGACTTCATGCAACAGTTGGGAGTACATATATAATTACTGCAGTACTGAGCCCTGCTGTGTTGTACGGGAATACCAAAAGCCAGTCCCTAAACCCATCAATACCACAGGGGATATACTGTAAATTATAGGTCTACCATACTCCATAACACTAACTTGTAACATTACTATTAATAAAAATGAACTTTCTACTTTTTATCCATCTATTTTCATGTGGGTGTACTCTGGCCTTCTCAATTACACAACTATATTATGGAGGCTAGTGAGTTCAATGCTGGGTTAGGTACAAGAGATGTAAAGAAGAGTGGTAGCTTATTTATTAAATTGGCAGAAGTTCTCCTCTACCCACATGACAAACACCTTTCATCTTTAATGCTTCCCTCTACCTCTGGCCTGTTTATTTGCCCTGTACAGTAGCCTCATTATTTTCATATGATCTTTTAGGCATCAGTCATCAATCATGGTTTATGCTACCTTTCCATCATTTCAGCAAAATGTGCTTGAGTCTTAGACACAAAGTCATAAACACCTTAATCACATAATAAGACACTATTGGTGATGTATTTATAAGAACAATCAAAACTCAACAGGGAGTAAAATGTGATGAGAATAAAAGCAAGTTAAAAACACTTTTAAAGGATTTTTTTTTCTTATTATAAAGTATAAGAAAATTTGGAAGAATACAAAAATATCCAAAGATAACAAAGAAAAGTCATTTCTAATTCTAAAGCTAACCTTTTATCATAATTAATTCTGAACATAGGCAGCCAGTCCAGGGGTCTTCTCTTCAGGTCCTTAAGAATTTTATTTAACTTCTTCATATATAATTCAGTGTTTAATACTTCTGTCCTTGTCCCTATCTTCAATGAACTCATTGTGTTTCCAATTTTCCACATTCCACATTAATTCTACCATAATATTGAATTAATATTGACATGACTTTCTTATGAATTATAAATTTTTCTATCAGCAAATACTTGATGTGTAGAATTTAAAGTCTCCACTGAGTGTGTTTTTTACCTATAGCTACAGCACAGATCTGGAAGATACAAAAATTTAGGTGAGAATTCTGATCTAGAGAAAATGTAAGAAGTTCAGTGAATTTGAGGTTTAAGAGGAAATGATAATTCCAAGTTTTCTTACTTGAATAAAATACTGAACACTGCAATCATTCACTAGGAAATATAGCAAGAGACATAGATTTTTGGAAAGGAACATTTATGGCATGTTGAGTTTAGACTTTTTAGCTGTATACAGGTGTGAAGCTTGGGACAGAAAAATGTGCTTCAAATATAGATTTCAGGAGCCATTAACAGAAGTGATGGGATAAAATCACCCAAAAGACTACTACAGATTGATGAGAAGGAAAAAAATGTCCAAAATTCTAAGGAGTAACATTTAAAGTATGTTAAGAAAAATTAGACTCCATAAAGGAGGGTAAGAAGGAGAAGCTAACCAATGGGAACTCACTCCCAGTCTTCATGTCTTCCCAGATGAGGTCTCAGACATAGAAGAAAAGAGGCAACCTATTCCTATTATGCTCTGTGTTAGTTTAGGGTTTTTTTTTAAGATTTTATTTATTTATTTGACAGAGAGAGACACAGCGAGAGAGGTAACACAAGCAGGGGGAGTGGGAGAGGGAGAAGCAGGCTTCCCACCGAGCAGGGAGCCCAATGTGGGGCTCGATCCCAGGACCCTGGGACCATGACCTGAGCCGAAGGCAGACACTTAACAACTGAGCCACCCAGGTGCCCCTCTGTGTTAGTTTTTGACCCATACAATCAATGAGCATAATAAAATTGTTTTTGTTTTAAACCATCAAGTTTCAGGGTAGTCTGTGACAAAGCAATATTAGCCAGAAGTGTATATAACTTTCAAACTATAAAAGTTTTTAAAAAAGAAAAAAGAAACAACACATAATGAATCATAGGCAATCATCTCCTGAAATGATGGAATAAAGAGATCCAGAATTCTGTCCCTTCATAAAAGCAGCAAAATAGTGGCAAGAAATTGTCAAAATCAAGTTTTCAAGAGCTCTCCAAATTAACCACAGATTTGCAGAAATCCAAGGAGCATTTATTGATTTAAAAAACAAAACAAAACAAAACAATGCTGAATCTCAATAAGAACAGCGAACTTTGTGGCAGTTCAACTGCCCCATTATTGTTCAACTCTTGCCTCACCAAGTAGCCTTGACAACCAGCAGCCGTCCAATCAAGGTAGTTGTGAATATACAAATAATATCTATAACTCAGTAATAAAAACACACTAACCCAATTATAAAATGGACAATGGAGTTGAATAGACATTTCTCCAAAGAGGATATATGAATGTTCAATAAGCACATAGAAAGGTATTTAATCTCAATAGTCATCAAGGAAATGCAAATCAGCACCACAGTGAGTTACCACTTCCCACCCTCTAACAGAGTTATTTATAATGAACATAAGACACATTAACAAATGTTGGTTAGGATATGAAGAAATTGGAACTCTCATATGCTGCTAGTGAGAATGTAAACTGGTGGAAACACTTAGGAAAATAGAGTTCCAGTTCCTGAAAAAGTTAAGCCTGGAATTTTCATTTGATTCTGCAATCCCACTCATAGGCATATATGCAAAAAAATTGAAAAATGGGTCAATGCAAAAACTTGCTCACAAATGTCCATAGCAGCATGATTCATAATAGCCAAAACAACCCAAATGGAAACAACCCAAATGTTTATAAACTGATGGATAGATAAACATTATGTGGCATACCCATACAATAGAATATTATTTTGGCAATAAAATGGAATAAAGTACAAACTCATGCTACAACATGGATAAAGGTCAGCAGACCTTTCTTGAGAAATATACAAAAATTTCCAGTAGAAGGAAAACTATAAAAGGTAGAAATTTGGGGGCGCCTAGGTGGCTCAGTCGTTAAGCGTCTGCCTTCGGCTCAGGTCATGATCCCAGGGTCCTGGGATCGAGCCCCGCATCAGGCTCCCTCCTCAGCGGGGATCCTGCTTCTCCGTCTCGCTCTGCCTCTCCCATACTCTTGCTCTCTCTCTCAATAAAATCTTAAAAAAAAAAGAGAGAAATTTGGACCTTCACAAAGGAATAAATTGAGTTACAATTTGTAAGTTTGTGGGTAAATGTAAAATATTCTTTTCCCAGTTTTTAATCTCTGTAAAAGACAATTTACTGCTTAAAACAAAAGTAAAATATATTGTGTGGTTTATTGCATTGCAGAAAGACATGAATGACAATAGCCCAAACTATGGGAAAGGGAAAATATTAGTATAGGATTGTAAGAGTTATACATGAAAGTTAAAGAGCTGTATTATAAACCCTACAGCAAGAACAAAAAAAAATGTGTATAACCAATGGGGTAGATAAAATGTGATAATAAAAGATGTACATATAGGAGAGGAAGGAAAGGGAAACAAAGGAAAGGAGAACAAATAGAAAACAAATAACAAGGTGGCAGTTTTAAACACAACCATATTATAATTTCATTAAGTGTAAATATTAAATGTACACATACCAGTTAAAAGATAGAGAATGTAAGGCAGGATATTATATTAATTCCTTTTTTTTAACAAATTATTCCAAGAAGTAACAGCTTTAAAAACCTTTATTTTCTCATAGATGCTGTGGAAAGCATTCCAGAAGCAGCTTAGCTTGGTGCTTCTGTCTCAAGGTCTCTGATGAGATTGCACTAAAGCAGGTGACTGGAGCTATAGACATCTTGATACTCAACGAGGGTCAAAGGATCTGCTTCTAAGCCTGCTCATTTGGTTGTTGTCAGGCTTTGTTCTTGAGAGCTATTGGACATAGAGCTCCAATTTTTTATAACTTATTAAATAGAGGGTCATGGATTCTAACCAGATAATCTGGGCCACTCCATAGGAATTCTCACAACATGGTACCTTGATTCCCCCAGTACAAGTGATGAGAGAGAGAGAGAAAGGGAGAGAGGGAGGAAACAAGAGACAGATAGAGTGACACACACAAAAACAAAGAGACACAGACAAAAAGAGAGCCCAAGACTATCACCACAGAATTTTTAAGTGGTTATAATAAAAAATAAGAGGGGCGCCTGGCCTGCTAGGTCAATTGAGCACCTGAGTCTTGGTTTCATTCAGGTCATGATCTCAGGGTCGGGAGATCCAGCCCCTCGTTGGGCTCCTCATTCAGCACAACTCTGGTTGAGATTCTTTCCCCCTCCCTCTCCCTTCTCCTTTGCTCTCCCCCCCCAGCCCCCCTTGAATGCATACAAAGGCATGCATGCTCTCTCTCTTAAATAAATAAATAAATAAATAAATAAATAAATAAATAAATAAAATCTTTTAAAAATATAAGAAAATAAAAAAATAAAATCTTTAAAAATAAAATAAAATAAATCTTTAAAAAATATAAGAAATCTTTCAAACCAATGATTTAAGCCTCCATTTTAAGAACTTAGAAAAAGAAGAAAAAAGAATTTAGAAAAAGAAAGGCAAAATAAACCTCATTTTAGAAACTATGTACCTCAATGAAGCCTTTATTTTTACTAGGCAGAAGGAAGGAAATAATAAAATAAGATCAGCAATTAATTAAATATGAAATGGAAAAACAATAGGAAAAAATCAACAAAAATAAAAGCTGTTTTTTTAAAGGTAAAAAATTGATTTTCAGAAATATCTAACCAGATTGATTAAAAAAAAGAGAAAGAGAAAGAAAGCACAAATGACCAATATTAGGAATGAATAGGAGAAAAGACAACAGATATAAAAAATACTAAAAGAACAGTAATAGAATACAATAATCAATGATATACCTATACTTTGATAACTGTTATGAAAAGGAAAAATTCCTCAAATGATGTAAACCACCAAGATTCACACAAGAAAACATTTGCAACTTGTATAATTCTATATCCTTTTTTAATAATGTCTATTTACAAATCTTCCCACATAGAAAATACCAGGTATAGATGGCTTCATTGCTGAATTTTTCTAAATATTTAATAATGAAAGCATATTCATTACACACAGAACCCTTTGTATAATAGAATAAGAAAGAATATTTCCCAAATGATATTAGGAGGCCAGCATTATCCATAACAAAACTCAAAAAATGAAATTTCAAGGAGGGG